ATGCAGGATCAGTTTACTTGTTTTTGCTTTTCATTAAAAGGAATATTGAGCTACAGATTTGAACGAATAACTAATTTTAGAGTGTGATTCTTTTTTTTGTGTTCATTTTTGCTCTCTTTATGGAATTTAAAAGTACCACTTTTACAGGATTATGGATCTATTAACATGTTTTAACACCAACTGAAAGTATTTACCTCAAACTCAAGATTACACTACAGGATAATGGAGCATTTCACATGTTCAATTCCTCCTTAAATTAAGAATTACTTTATCTTATACTCCTGTATGTATTACATCAAATTCAATCATTTAGATTGCCTTATTTGCCATACCGTAATCATTTTAACAGCACACAATTCCCTGATTGATTGTTAGTGCTTCATGTGTTCTCATGGCTACTCCCTTCTCTAGTTAAGCCTGTATCCTGCTTTAGAATGGGGCAGTAATGATGTTATTGGCCCTCACCAGCCTAATGGACATCCGAATGCCACTGAGCGGAACTCGGAGTATGGGGCGGCGAACATCCTGTGAGGGCAGAAGGATGTTTACAGCACTGCAGGGACAGTGGGAGTTGATAAGTACAGGCTGAGCTCTGGCACCGAGCGAGAAGACAACAGCTGTTATACATAGAATGTTTTTTCCAGGTAACTTTGTGCGTTCTGGCGGATGTAATAGGTGATGTCAGCTCTTGTGCAAAGTGTACATGACTAACCACTTCTGCGGAGCTCTCTGAGGTACTACAGATAATAGTGGACCACCCACAGCTCACACTGGTTTGTGGTTGGATGAAGTTGACCCAAACAGATCAATAATCAAGTGTTGTTCCTCTGTAGAGCTGGATCTCTTAGCTTAGAGCTGAAATTAGCAAAGTGTTCCTTACTTATATGATTGTTTGGGGGATTGCTGGTAGTCAACAGTCAAAGGTTGTTGTGACCTTAAGTCTTTCCATTTCTTGTGAGTCAATGTCTCAGGAATGCCTGGATGTAATTTCTTCCTATTTGGCACAAACCACTACTTGAACTAAGCCACTTGAACTAAGGCACTTGAACTTAAACTGATTAGAATTGTTAGTAAAATGTCACATTGACTACACTATACATGTTTTTGGCCATAACTCAAGAATTATTGTTCTAATTATAAACATTTCACACATTTTATAGCGTAAAATAATAGAGGGATTTGTTATAGGCATTGAATAAAACTTCAACAGGACTGGTTGACAGAGGCATACATACACAGAGCAATACTTCTTCTCGCCAGGAGAGGAGCTGCAATGAGATAACTATGTTACTGTAGGCAACTGTTTGCTAGCACATACACAAAAGCAATGTTATAGCAAGATTATACGTCTCTCAGCTGGATTTGGAGTTATGCTCCAGTGGCCAAGGTCATGTTGCTGCAACTTTAAGGGCCTGTGTCCACATTTTTTCTGACATTTGCGCATGGTGTCCCATGATTACGTGTTGAGAAAACCTCTGCACTTAGCGCCTTTAATCTGAGCGGCCCTGCGTTTTTGTGCAGCCAATTAGAGCAATTTTATTTGAAAATAATATATTTTTTAGGACAACGTTGGTCATGTCACTTCAGAACAAAGACTAAGAAGCCAATTTCTTTGAGCAGATCACTCAGGCTGACCCTGGATGTTGCCACCGGTCAGTGTTGTACTTTTATCGCTTTACGCAGATCTTCCTGATGATTGGTTATCACAAAGGAGTGCCTTACTGTATGACAGCAGGATAAAGGGTTGGTTTTAGACACATACAACTGAAACCTTTCTCTGTAATAGCCAGTGTCATTTGATTGCAATAAAGGAAAGCTATTTGCCCTTTGTCTGGGCAGAAGGTATTTATAACTTTGCATTCGATCTAAGATTTTATGATTAATTCACAAGCCTGCTGTTGATCATGCTTTCTATTGGCTCTTCAACACCTGTTAAAAACATAGCTATGTTTTGAGTTTCCATCGTAAACAAGATATTTATGGCAGAAGTCAAAAATATCCTCTTGGAAATTTCCACTATGGCAACTAGATTCCATCAGATGGGAGGGTTTGTTGTTATATTTTTCTAATATCTTCTTAAGAATGATTTAAATGTGAAAACAAGGAATAGCCATAGAAAACGGGATTTAGAAATAAATCATAACTAGCTAATTGCAATGTTTAAGCAGCTATTGGGAAAACATTCTGTGTCCTGACAAGATATCCACTGTATCGGTCTGCTTTGTATGAAATGCAGCCTTTGCCAAGAAACAGCTGGGGAACTTGGCAAAGCAGAGCGCTGTGTGTGTATCTGTCTGTGTGTGCATGTGTGTGTTTTCATGCATGTGTTTCAGAGCAGCTGATCTTTTCCTGGCTGTTTCCAATTTGCACATCTCCATAATGTTTTACAATCCCACTTTCAGTAAGCCCCTCCTCTCCCTGGGGTAACGCAGTTTTAACTGAGAGCAGACTGGAGGAGGCGCTGGGCCGGCCCCCGTGGAGACAGTGCTGCGGGGACACTTGTTACAATCTGCTGGGTCAAATCCCTCAGGGATGGGCTGTCTGACGGCCCCTCGCCGTGCCACTTTTACCTCGCCGTGCCACTTTTACCTCATCAGTGTGTTGTAAGACTGAACTCGTTTTTGTAAGTTTTGGCAAACAACCAATGAGTATTCAAGCTTTTAGCAAAATGGTAGCTGCATGAAGCTGCAGCATTTGTAGGGCTGTGGGGACATCCATTTATGTAAGCCTTCATATCTTCTAAGATTCTGAATCAATCCTTTTTTTTCTACAAAAGAACAATGGTATTGCAACTGAAGGAGTAATTCTAGACACCAAGCCAAAGTTTTTTCAAGCATTGTTGTGTTGTATGCTGAAAGATCACAGTACAATCGCAGTTATTTTGTGTACAATTTCCTTGCTTTTTAAAATGGCAATTATCTGAGAAATAAGCTAGCTAGCTACTGTAGCTAACCTGCCAACTTTATTTATAGGCAGCATTTTTATTTTGTATGACTTTGACTTCTTTAAGTCACTGGGATTTGAAAATCTAATTTGGTTTGACATTATTACAATCAGTTGAAATCACTTTTTAAATCTTAAACATTCTTTTTTTTTTATATATATATTTTTTAAATAGCACCACTAATTATGGCTAGATATTGAAAATAATCATGACACCAATCATCCAAATTAAAACATACTTATGTTAAAATATTCACATATTTTGTAACATGTAAGTAAGTAAGTTATATAACCATACATCTGTAAAAACAGGATGACACAAAAATCAGTTTGAAAACGAAATTACAAAAACGTATTGGACATGTTTCCAGATTTCCAAAAATGATATTTAAGTTCAGATACTCAGTATATGTCTGCAGTTCATAAAGGCAGAACTTCACTCCCACAAACTGTTTCTGCGGAAAGCCAATGCTGCACTCTGAGCTGAAGGGGAGGTTTCTATCCTGGGATGTTGAACATTTTCCACCTTCATACTTCTGATTCATGCAGTTCATTGCACAAAACCACTCTTCTATCATTGGTGATGAAAAACAAATATGTGTGCTCTTCAAGTCAAAGGCCCCTCAGCTTGGGAACGCTCCCCCCTGATTTCCTGTTGCAGAGTTTGTCTGTTCCATTGCACAAAATGTAATTAGATGTGCGATGTTGAAAAGTGATGAACTAGTTCCTCTCGGGTGTTAGAGACCTTATTTACTTTGCTTCTGAATGAGACGTAATCCCCTCCGGAAGGCCGTGTACCTAAAAGTAAGTCATCCTTGGTTCAGCTCCTCTCTCAGTCCTCACTATAAACCTGCCGTCCATATGAGTATTTATTATGGATTGCAAAAGAGATATGGCTCACAAAGCTCACAGCAGCGGGAGAGCATGGGGTTTAAGTGTCAGCTGTGCGTACATGACTTTTGTCAGGGAACTGGAACTTTTTGTTTAGTTGGGCAGATTCCAGCTGCTTATTGTGTCAGCTGTGTTCTTTGATCACTTCAAATAAACTATGGGCACATTTCACTTTTAAACTTTCTTAAAGGAACACTTCACCCACCAAAATGACCCTTTGTTACCTTGAATTCTTGAAGAACACATACATTGTTTCTCGCACTCCCCCATGCCAAGAATCCAAAATCAAAGAAAAGTCTAAACAATTGAAGTAGATGGCGTTGTTTATGTTTAAAAACAGCTAAACTAAACAAAACTCTAACATTGTTAACACTTGTGTGAACATTCAAGGGTTACTTACAAAAGCGGGCTTCTAGTTAATTTGATTACGTTTTTTAAATACGAAGATTTTAGTGGAAATGTACGTGTTTGGGAAGTAATAGACAAAGGACTTTGGTTGTGTATTACTTGTACTGTACACACCTGTTGTACAGAGTTATATGGGTGGTTCTGACTAGTTTTGATGTTGTTTAACGTGCCTCAAATGGACTTTAATTAAAAAATAACTTTAGAAGCATGCGAGAAAGCTTTTCTTCACAAAAGGTTACACAGAGCAAGATATTGATAGAAACATGATCATTTTGTAGAAGTATTGCTTTAAAATGTACAGTCAGTGCTAGTAGAGTCATCTTATGTTAAATGTAAAACAGTAGACATGCGTGTACGACTCAGGAGCAGTTATAGTTTAGCAGCTTATAAAAGTCGGGAGTTAAATGCATACAGTGTGTTGTGTTTGAGGATTTATGGATCCAGTTGCTGCTTTTCGATCCCATTACGACTATTTTTAACATGTTTGACTTTAAGGACTTGGATTGATGCCACCGTTTTTGAAATTAAGAAAAATAGACAAATCAGATATGAAGTCATATATGGGCTGTTGAATGTAGGTTTCAATAAGCTTTTACTCTGTTCCCAGCTTAATTGACTGTGATAGCGAATACAAAAGCAACATTTCAGAAAGCCGCCGATTGAAACATTTATCGACAGTGGGAGAGATAAGGGCCTTTATGAGGGGATTTTATTTCACTTTTTAATGGCGTTGCTTAATTTTTTGTTCTCTGTTCCAGATCTGCAGCTCGTAAATCATCGTCTCGCTTTGACATGGCCAAAAGCAAGATGGATAGCATCGAGCGGAGCGGGGTGGTGGCACTCATACTGCTGTGTCATCTAACAAAGGTAGGAGAGTCTGTATGCAAACAGGCAAAACACTGAAAAACACACCAAATATAATTCAGTTCACAATCAGAATACTCTATCGCAAGAGACATCGGGTTTGGTGACAGTTGCCTTATTTTAGAAGTAAATAAAATAACAGATACAAATATAAATCAAAAATAGAGTTAAAATGTGTTTATAAAAATAAAAAACAAAATAAAAATAAAAATAAATATATATATTAACATATTAAAATGTATTTGAAATGTCCAATAAAATAGAATGTATTAATACATCGGATTTGTTTTCTTGTTAGCAGTGGTGTGATTTTACATTTACTTAAGTTCTATTCTTCAGTATACATGTTATGCACTTGTACTTAAAAGCCTCTTGGATCAGTTGAAAAATGCCTCCTGTCACAAAGCTGAAAACAAGACCGTTTTTAGAGAAACTCATGAAAAAGTTGACTTTTTAAAATGATGTGGATCTCACAGGACAGAGACGCTTCAAATATATGCAGATCTTATACAATATGATGTATTGCTTTACAATAAACTACATAACAGTATATAAAGGAGTTAAAATATTTACAAAGTCCACAGCAGTAAAATCTAACATACACATACATGTGGCATATACTGTACTGCACCACTACCTACCAGAGAGCAATTGCCGCGAAACAACTCAACAAAATAACAGCTATGCAAAACGTCTACAAGTAGCGATCTGTGCCCAAATTCCACTTGGTCCGTTTATGTCGGAAATTCGATTGTCTTTTTTTTTTAAATACATTCTAAAACGGTCCAAAGCTGTGATCCTTCAAATTTAAAATAAATACAAAATCTTTCATTGCTTTTCCTGAACTTCCTGTCCGAATTAGTGTTGTCAGTGTGAGTGACCTGATTACACGTAAATGTGCTTACCTCGTGCACTTTCCTATTTTTTCATGGCCATTTTTTGTCAAGAGCCAGGTTATGACATCATCAGAAGATGAAATTGGCATCCATCTGCTGATGATGTCATAACTTGACGGCTTTGATGATGTCACGATGAGGTCATCATCAAAGCCATTGGCATTCTGAACATGTGTGCAGGTCAAACGGATTTACTTCATACACTTACTTCTACGGAAACCTACATTCATCATAGGAACAATACAGTCCCATCCAGACAAAAAGTCTACTCAAAACATTTACCGTCTTCTACAAAGAAATACGGTCTTGCACAAACAGACTTTCATTATTCTACCTACGCTCAATTCAAGACTAAAACAGACTTGTGCCATGGCTGGAATAATGATCCCAGCAGTGTGTGAGCAGGTCAGCTGCAGACAGGAGAAGGAGGAAGCCGCTCAGAGGCTCACAGAGGCCCAAAACACGCTGTGCAGCAGAAATACTGCATTGGAAGGGTGTATTAAACACTGGGAGTTCCTATATGGACTTCTGGACACGCAAACACGTGTCCTGGCAGAGAAAAACAAGCACTTTGAGGTGAATTGGCCTAAACATGAGAATATGTTGAATACCAGGATCAAGCACAGGGACGGTGTAATCAGGGGTCTGACAGAATCCAACAAGACCCTGGCGAAAAAAAATGCCGACTTGATGGGAATAGAGCACAGCTGGCAGGATCAGATCCGCCACAGGGACGCTGCAATCGTGCGTCTGAACAAGGAGAAGGAGTTTCTCTTTCAGAAGCTTGCAGTGACCACAAAAAAATACAATGTACTGAAGGTGGAATCTTTAAACATCCTGGCTGAGAAACCAGACATGAGTCTAATGGTCCTGCAAGAGGAAAAGCAGTGTCCAGAGTCAAAAATCGGGACAAGCGATAAAAGGAATGAGGAAGATAAAAAGTCACTGGCAGAGAAGTTCAGAAAAGACATGGCTGAGAAAAAAGAATGCTGGGCTTCTCTAACCAAACTGATGAAGGAGAAACTCCAGAAGATTGAGGACAAGAAGACGCATCTGGAGGAAATGCCCACAAAGGTCCTGCCTGAGAAGCAAGAAAGCTTGGCAGAGGAAGTCAACTTGAAGTTTGAAGTCCTCAAACTGGAGGAGAAGGTCACTGAGGACTCGGCTGTGAAACAACATAGCGTGGAGACAGTAGTGGTGACAGAATTAAAACAGGAGGAGACATCCACAAAGGACCTGGTTGACAAACCAAATTGCTCTGAGATGAAAGTCACGATGATGATCGAAGTGAAGGAGATGGAGGACAACCTGGCCAATGAAGACCACAGCTGTGGAACCGAAGAGTTGGAGGATGAGAGGAAATACCTGGAAGAGTTCCCCTTCTTACCGACGACCGGAGCAAGACAGGTCGTGCTGCAGGACCAGGAGCGCAGACAGGAGGATACACTTAGCTTGGCAGCAGCGGTGGGGACAGGAGTAAAAGAGAGGACATATGAAATAAAGTCCACAAAGGACCTAGTTAGGAAACCAAATAGCTGGGAGATGAAAGTCACACCGACGGAGATGAAAGTAACAGAGGTGGGGGACAACCTGGCTAATAAAGACCAGAGCTGCGAAAGCAAAGTGAAGAAGGGGGAGGATGAGGAGAAGGACCAGGAGGAGTTACCCCACTTGAAGAAGACCCAGGCAGGAAAGGCAAGGCTGCAGAAAAAGATAAGAAGAAAGGAGAAAAAACAAGAGAGGAGAAGAGACTAGGAGAATGCAGGCTGCTGCTAGTTGTTCACGACAACAGTAGCTCCCTTTTATCCCCCCTCTTCATCTCTCTTCCCCTCCCTCAACCCTCCTTCATCTTCCTCACCCCACCTCCATCTACCTCATGCCCGTCTTTCATCTGCCCTTCTTCCTTACCCTCTCTATAGTATTATTGCATTTGGGTTTCTCCTGGAACGCAGGTTTTCCCACTTTATATCCAGAGAGGCATTTCTTATGCCCTCTGGATATAAACAAAAAAACACAGTTAAAGAAATATCCTCCTCAACTCCCTCCCTCTGTCCACCCGTCCTCACCCACTGCCCATGATTTACAATAAGTGCAAAAACCATAGAGATTCCAACTCCGAACAACAAAGAGTGCAGATATATTCACTTCAAGCAAGTCATTCTGACCTGAAGTGAATATATCTGCACCTGGTGTTGGTGCTGGTGAATTAGATAAAAGTCCTACATTAACTTTTTTAATTAACTTTTACATTTTTTTAAATTGTATTGCCAAGGTACAAAAAGCCAGGCATTAAAGTCAGATATATGCATTTTCATTGAATACAAATAAACTAAAGCATTTCATTAAAACTTAAAAAGTCTATGTTCAATGTCTCCACCTCACTTAAACATAAAGAGTACATACATTGTTATATGATATTTTGTTGACTAGAAAGTGAAAGTACTGCCAAATGTGAACAATACACCGTGTCGTTTAAAGGGCTGCCCGCGACTCAAACATGTGCTCGTCGAACAGCAGTCGTCAATTCAGGCGATTAGTCGACTAATCGTCGCACGTTTATAATATATCATTATTATTATTATTATTATTATTATTATTATTGAACTGATGAACTTAAACTTTATTATTGAAAAATCCCACAAGATGTCAGGTAATTACAAGTTCAGTATCGTTAACTTCAATATTTTTGATTATCTTTAAATAAAAACCTTTAGCTGTATAAACCCCACTATCAATTAAAAACTTCGCTTAGTACTCAAAACTGAATATAGAGATTTTTTGAAAACTGATTACATCAATATTATTAAGTAACTATAACTCATGTACACATTTTAAGTAAACATTATCACTTTCACACAGACAATTTAAATGCAATTCACTGTTTTATTAAGTAACCATAAACCATTTAACAAAGAACAAAAAATATATATATATTGTTTGCCAAATAATTCACTTTTAAATAAACACCTTAAAACTGTGCGAAAGACTTTGAGAAATGTCCAGCGACATATTTTGAACCATCACTTATGAGTGAACAAACACAATGTTACCTGGAACAGTTGTGCTCATTAATTTACCACATGGACCATAAAGACCAAATACATATAGAAGTATCAAAGAATGTACTGTAGTAGTAAAACACTGATACATTTTTGGACACCAAATGTTATTTTAATGTTTATACCTAAGTAATACTTCCTTGTGTTTTCTTAAGCAGGGTTTTGACCAAAGGACCTGTATGTGTAGAAGAGCATTTTTACAGTGTGTTGTAAAATATAGTATAATGCTATATGACTGCAGCCTGTCGTGTTGTTTTTCATCAGGGTAATTGGATTTATGATGTAGTAAAATATACTTAGCAAACATTGTAGTTTACTATTAGCTTTGGTTTGACATATTTAAACTTACTTATGTCAGTTTATGTTGTGTAAAAAGCTGTTTTAGGTTTGTGTCTGCTTGTCCTATTTCCCACAAATGGATTTAATGGAAGTTTGTGTATGTTAGCCTCCCTTTTCTGGCGTTATAAGGAGGAAATCATGGACTGTCTTTCTTTAACGCATCCCAAAAGAGTCAGAACACACAGTTGAAATTGAGTCCAGACATATGCTTGCACGCAAATACTTTTTCTGGCATGAAGCTCTGTGGCCATACTGTAGATTTCAAAATAATATTATTACTACACACCAGCCAGGATCTGTTTGGAAAAATAACGATTTTGATTAAAGCAGGAACTGAACAGATGTATTCCGCCCGTCTATCCTTCTTTGCAGATTTTTGTAACGGCAAGCCTGGAGGTGAATGAAACCCAGCAGCAGCATCCGACCAACGTCTACCACGACATGGGAGTCACCAGGAACAAGATAGTGACAGCACAGTTTGAGTGCTACCAGAAGATAATGAAGGACGATCCCCAGGGAAGAGAAGGTATGCTTCATGTTTCTGAACTGAAACTGTGGAGTTGGAATACACTGATCGCAGTAAATCTAAGCTAATAGCATCTCAGCTAAAGATGGAAAATACATACTTCATTGATCCCCAAGGGGATATTCAGTTTTACTTTGTTGTTGATACACAGTTAAAGTTAAAATGCACATGCACAATCAGGACTTTTACCCAGAAATACACAGATGCACAAAGCAACGACCAAGCATCTTGTTCCAAAGCCAGACCCCTACAGACTAAGCTAGCTAGTAACATTTGTTTAACTAATTTGTATTAGTTATATACTTCAACATTCTTGCTGACACACATTTAACACATTAAACACCTTTGTCCTTGGTTGTAGAGCCCGTGTGTAACCGCACCTGGGATGGCTGGCTGTGTTGGGACGACACCACTGCGGGGGCTAACTCGGAGCAGCACTGCCCCGACTACTTCCAGGATTTTGATCCTTCAGGTAAGATATGTGGCCTACAGTAGCTCTAAAGGGGCATTTACACCAAGCTTCTTTGGTATAACTTTAGAGCCAGAAAGAACACGATATACCTTCTCTTTTTTTGTATGGGAAAATGCAAATATTCCAAGCGGAGAAAGCTTGTTCTGTATCCGGTGTTAACTTTTACCCGCTGGCAAGCACCCCAACCCTTATCGAGGTCATTGCTTCTGATTTCCTTGATTCGAGGAAGAGGAGGTAACTGTGAAAGTTGTGCCTACAAACTGCTTCTAAACAATCCTATTCACTTTGTGCTTACAGTGGTTGTCCAGTGCTTTAGTATTGCACATCCATAAAGTTGTGGAAAATAACAAATATAGATCGATGATCAGAAATGTAAACAGCCAAAGTGATGATATCCTTACCCTCACTTTGGGTTTATATCCTACATCAGGATAGCCAATTATTATTATTATTATTATTATTATTATTATTATTATTATTGTTGTTGTTGCTATAATGCAGGGGTATTCAATTGCATTTCAAAGAGGTCCAGTAAGAGAAAATGTCATTAAATGCTCTGTTTTCGCTGTCTACCTTTCTCTTTTTTGATCACGCCACGACTGTTTCTCTCCTCTTGTCTCGTCTCTCTGTGTGTGTTTGAATCTATCGTGCTGACTCACTGACTGCACCGATTTGATTGGCTGAGTAGCGTCACCTCCTTAAAACATTAAACAATAACTTTTTTAAACCTTTTTATCTTTATGTTTTAAAAACATTTTTAAAACATTTTTAAAAAACATTTTCAACATCGTGGATGAAACCTTATATGCTCCCGGCAACACACTGAACGTCAACTTTGCCTCCTTATTACACTCACCGCTACTTTAGTGTGAACAATGAGTCTGCGTCTTTGATCCGCACAGGCGGATGATGCGGGGATGCAATGTAGACAGGAACTAGAAAATGCATTTCCTGCTGAAAATGCGTGCGAATGCTGTAAACTGTGTACATTTGTTGCTGAATTTAGCTGAAAATCTGAATATGTTATTAGTTGAATGGTCTCTGTAGCTGCTTTTAGCTACAAAAACCAAATAAGTGTGTTGCTGAACTTAGCGGAGAAATGCAGAAAAGTGAAATGATTTGAATCAAAATTGTTACAGCTCTAATGCATTGCAATGACTTTGTTGAAAACTTGAAAGTGAAATGTTAAACTGGAAGAGTAGGAAAAATAGTGAAGAAGCTTAATATTTGAAAGAAAAGGTTTAAAAAAGGTATAAACAACTAAATGTATAGCCTCAATGTCCTGAAATAGCTGAATAATGTAATAGTTGAATGGTTTCTGCACAAAAGTGCATTTTGCATGATAGGTCCCCTGTTAAATATCTCAAAAGGTGTAAAAGATATCAAAAATCTGAAGAATAAGTGTTATAGCTGAAGGTCTTGTGACCATTTTAAAGTTGGAATGAAGTCTCTAGCTGAAAGTATGTGGAAGGAGTAGCATTTGGCGCACGGTGTAGGTAAAAGAGGATTTGAAGGTTCCTCCCATTGAGTTCCATGTTAAAAAAAGAGTTTAAAAAGCTGAATATTTCAAAAAGTATAAAATATTTCGAAAAAGTTGAAAGTTTCCCATCATGTGCTGAAAAAAATTACCATTAAATATAAGTCTTTACTTATAAGTAAATACAGTCAGTAGCATTTCTACTGCTTGTATTTGTTATACATGAAGTTTCATTAAAAAAGCATTGTTTTTTTATGCAAGCTTTTTCTTTTTATATTTGTGTTCACGTGTGCAATAATGTCCATGCATGCATGTGTTCGTTTTATTGTTAGAAGATTCTGAGCTAAAGCTTCAGTACAGCACTCCCTTCATCAGATATGCAGATGCATGATTAGATTCAGGTCCTCTGATCATGCCTGGTAATCTGTCCAATGGAATTTCTACACTGCCTTCATATGTTTGTTTCATGTTTACCTGCAGAGATGGTGAATAAGATCTGCACAGACAGCGGTATCTGGTTCCTGCACCCAGAGAGCAACCGGACATGGACCAACTACACCCGCTGCACCGAGCACACCAACGAAGGCAGAGTGGTAGGTCTTTTTATGAAACTGTGTTAAACGCAATCAGATTATACAAATAAATATGGTGAGCACTGACATTTAAACAGATCTCTAAACAGTTTTGGTATATTTTTAAGAAGAAAACGGGCAACTTTATAAATCTAACTCTGTTATTGCCTATTTTACGGCATCAGGGAGCTGTTGGGGGTTTGATGCCTTACTTAAAGGTCACCTATTATGCAAAATCCACTTTTTCATGTCTTTTATACATAAACATGTGTCCCCTCGGAACAAAGAACCCCTCTCTTTTTGTCCTGATCCATTTATATAAAAACCTGTCTGAAAATGAGCTGATCAGATTTTGGCCACTTTATGATGTCATAACGATTTTTTGGCTTGTGTTACCATTAGCCAATAACCAACCAAGGTAACCCCCCCCCACCTTCTCACCTCCTCCTAGAGCACCATTGTATTTTTTAACCAAATATCTCTCAGAGGGGCGTGGGGAGTGGCTCCTTATTTTCATCTATAGTAACAGACAGAGGCTGCTTCTCACTTCTCTTATTTTTCATTTCCTCGCTCCTCGCTCCTCGATATCACCGGAAGTTGATTTGTCTGCGCCATCTTGAGTAGCGTCCCAGTGCCCTTATTTGTGCCGGTGGACCGAGGATCGAGGATCGAGGAGCGATAATGGAGGAGCGATAATCGAGGAACTACCAGACCATCCTCCGGTGAAATCCTCAGCCACTCGCCCCGCCCCCTTACTGTGTATCGCTCACTGATTGGACAATGCAGCACGTGCACCGATCCTACGCTTCTTGACATGAGAGCAGTTTACCAGCGGAGTGAAAATAACACATGAAACTCATGGGAGTCACTCAATCCGTGTATCTACCGTCCATTTGTTTTTCTTTATTAAACAAGTAAACTGAAGAGCGTCTGAGAGGCCTTTTTGCTTTTTACCTTACTAAATGGTCTAATGGTCATTGGAGCGAGGGGCGAAACTCACGGAAGTGATTTCAAAACAAAAGCACTCGTATGCTGAAATACACTTTGAAAGCACTACAGTATCCGGCTGATGGAACGGTGATAATATTATAAACAAGGTGAATTTAGCGATCACAACGAAAACGGCCAAGACACACATTGAGCCCTGAAAATGAATGTTATTAAGGGCTGTAAATATAATAAGCCTGTGTCTAAAATGGACAACATTGTTAGGAGATTTAAACTATACAGCGATTCTGCACTGCGGTCACTCAGCCGTCTCTCGCGTTTGTTTTTGCAAATCAGTAGCTCTTCATTTTTTTCCCTGCTATATTCAATGAGTGATACAAATATTCTTTACCACAAGTTCTTAATAAAACTGAAACTCTTGGACTCGGTACTAGTTTGACTGCTACCAGAAATAAAATGAAGTACTTTTACTGTGTACTTTGTGAGTAATCCTCTGTCAAAGTCCCCTCCATAGTACATAATGCATGTTTTTCTGCTATCTTTGATGAGTGATACAAATACAATTTTACCATTGGTTCTTAATGAAATTGATACTGTTTGACTTTGTATTAGTTAGCCTACTACTAACAATACATTGAAGTACTTTTACTGTGTATTTTTTGAGAAATACTCTGTCAAAGTCCCCTGCTGAGAACAAAATTAAGCCACTTCTGCTAAGTTTGATGAGGGAATTCTTTGTTGTTGCCATTAGTTCTTCGTGTGATTGATCCTGTTGGGCTCAGTACTAGTGAAACTACCCCCACAAGTACTATGAAGTACTTACTGTGTACTTTTCCAATAATCCTCTGTCAATGTCCCCTCCTGAGAACAACAATGCATTATTTTCTGCTATTTTGAATAAGCGTTAAAACACCTTTCTTCATGAGACTGATATTGTTGGACAGAGTACTTTAAGAGGAAATGGTAGACATGATATCAGCAATACTTCCAGTCAGTACTCCAGCAGCAGCATTTTTACCCCTTGGAAAGTCTTTAGAGCAGGGGTCTCCAACCCCTCGATCTTTTCAGTAGCTTGCCGCTCGCTGTTCACAGACTGTAGAAAAAATCCGACAACAATAAATGCACCTGAATCAGTCCGTGTCGCTGCGGCTGAGACACACATGGATTTATGTTTTAAAAAATACTCACGTTAGCACCATGTCAGGTTTTTGGTGGATTTAATCAAGTCTTGGATTGCAGAGTATGAATGTCCTCTTACTATTTTCAGTTGAAAAAAGCTTCCGCGATCACCGTCTCCTCTGTTCCACCAAACCCCGCCCCCTCCCTGAAAATAATGAGTGACAGCCTGATAGGAACCTGATAGAAATGTTATTATTCACTTTATCACTGATTGAGATATGATGAAGCTAACTTAATCTCATACATTCATGGGATTTATGTAACAGTAAGACAGAGAATAAGTGTGCACCCACATGCAGTATTTTTGTTTTTATATGCTGTTGTAAATACTCCTGTTGTCTGCTGTGTTCAGACTCAAGTCATGTTTGTGATGCCACATTCAGGACATTCAGTGTCTTTTTTTTAAATGTTTAGTAAATAAGGACTATTCAGTTAAAGGTAGGGTAGGTAAGAATGGAGAAACCAGCTCGAGTGCGCTAGAATTTGAAAGTACACAACCGGAAAGAATCTGCCTCTTCCTCCAGTTATTTTAGCCGGGCCGGCTAAAATGATTGGTCGTGCTTTTTACAGCGCTACGGCTTCCACAGATGAAATTTTTTTATGTATTTATTGTCAAAGCATTTAATATATTCATTGCTATCGGGATGTTAAGAGCATTCCATGGAATATAACAAAAAGTGTTTCTGAAGTGAATTACCTACCCCACCTTTTAAGAGAAGAGAAAAAAGGAAAGTAAACTGTTATGATGGGTGATGTAACATTAATGACAGACATAATATGAGGTCCTTGGCACTCAGACTCTAGAGGGTCATTTTGTGATCATGGGGCATCACCCTTACAGCATCAGGACAATATCATATGGAGTCAGACACTGGAAGTGTGCTGGAGGCGTTGACTGGGACTGATGGAAGGATGAGGCTGATGAGACTGAAGAATCTGCGAGGAAAGAATTAGCGGCAGAGAAATAGTTATTTATTAAAAGACAGCAGCATCATAAGAGGCCAACCAGAGTGACAGAGTGTGTCAGTGTGCTGAAGCATAGTTTTTACCAGCTATCCAGACCAGTCTCTAAAGACATTCCAAGGGGTAAAAATGCTGCTGCTGGAGTACTGACTGGAAGTATTGCTGATATCATGTCCACCATATCCTCTTAAAGTAGTCTGTCCAATAATATCAGTCTCAGGAAGAAAGTTTTTTTAACGCTTATTAAAAATAGCAGAAAAACATGCATTCTTGTTCTCAGGAGGGGACATTGACAGAGGATTACTGGAAACGTACACAGTACTTCATAGTACTTGTGGGGGTAGTTTCACTAGTACTGAGCCCAACAGGATCAATCTCACGAATAACTAATGGCAACAACAAAGAATTCCCTCATCAAACTTAGCAGAAGTGGCTTGATTTTGTTCTCAGCAGGGGACTTTGACAGAGGATTTCTCAAAGAATACACAGTAAAAGTACTTCAATGTATTGTTAGTAGTAGGCTAACTAATACAAAGTCAAACAGTATCAATTTCATTAAGAACTAATGGTACAATTGTATTTTTATCACTCATCAAAGATAGCAGAAAAACATGCATTATGTACTCTGGAGGGGACTCTGATAGAGGATTACTCACAAAGTACACAGTAAAAGTACTTTTTTCTGGTAGCAGTCAAACTAGTACCGAGGCCAAGAGTTTCAGTTTTATTAAGAACTTATGGTCAAAAATATTTGTATGACTCATTGAATATAGCAGGAACAACAATGAAGAGCTGCTGATTTGCAAAAACAAACGCGAGAGACGGCTGAGTGACCGCAGTGCAGAATCGCTGTATAGTTTAAATCTCCTAACAATGTTGTCCATTTTAGACATCGGCTTATTATATTTACAGCCCTTAATAACATTCGTTTTCTGGGCTCAATATGTGTCTTGGCCGTTTTCGTTGTGATCGCTAAATTCACCTCGTTTATAATATTATCACCGTTCCTTCAGCCGGATACTGTAGTGCTTTCAAAGTGTGTGTGTGTTCGGGCTGGTTTTGCTGTGTCTCGCTGTCTCGCAGACGGCCACTGGGCTCATAGGGAGGGGGGGCAGGAGCTCCAACAAGCCGTTTAGGACAGAGAGTGAATACACATACTTTACAGAGATGCTGTATGAGAAACCAATGTGAGTTTGGAAAATTGCACAATATAAATCTATTCTAGTAGACCTCAACAATGGAAATATGATCAGTAGAAATGGCCAAGACATGGAATCTTTAATCTAACTGGGTTTTGATAGATAACATATCTCTTTTCTTCTCTCAATTATTTTATTTCTGTTGTGCACTCTAATCAATATTAATCAAACTATTGTTGGTTTATACATTTTAAGAATGGCGTTTATCTTTATTGAGAATGAGTTCTTATTTTATTTTATTTATTTGGGCCTATAACAGATGACACACAGGTTTATGTCAGTAAATGTACAGTGTACTAACAGAGAGGGTGTTTGTGAAAAAAACGGGGACAGAGCTGGCTGCTGTCAGACGATCAGCTGTGCGGCGTCATCACAAACGGACGTCGCTTCACGTGACGCTCCGGAGGAAAGGACGTCCCATTGCTCTTAAAACAAATTTCCCTGCTTCTTCTCCCTTCTCGTGGTTTCCTTGCATCTCTCCATGCTTCCCTGGTGGGAGGGACTAAGACGCAAGGAAAATATGCAAGTGAAGGACGCAAGGATTGCATTTAAGAGAAATGAGATGCAGCCAGAGAATCAGCCCTTTTGAAACAGGGCTGAAACAGAGGGGATTATGGGATGCTGCAATGATCTGTTTGGTATTTGGAGCCGAACACTTCAGAGACATGTTTTGTATATATCTGAGACCTGTAATATATTGATGAAAAACAGTATAATAGGGGACCTTGGCAATGCTCAGGAGATAAACTTGCAGTACGACATGTGTACTTTTTGTCCTATCGGGACTTGAACCTGCGACTCTTTGATTCCCAAGCCAAGTTCCTACAGACTGCTGCTGCCGCCTCCGATATTTGTTTGAGTGAAATGTAATACAATAATGATGTATTGAAGCTTAAAATGTGCAGTTTGTCCCGAGGGAGAAAACAAAACGTGTGTACTTTGAAGGAATTAAAGAAAATTGAAAAAATGTATCCTCTGGGGAAGCCTCTGCCATTACAATTTCCATGGGACCCAATCAACTTATTTGTACATGAGTAGTGCCTCGATGGAACGTTTGGGCTAAAGGCACTGATAGAAGAAAGGTCAGGGGGTTAAAACGTCCCAATGAATCATCTGGAGATTATGATTATTCACAGCAAATGGAAATCTGGCCCATTGACGTATATATATTGTGCCTCAGTATGGACCAATGTGAGGATTAATGGGAACTGTTGCTCAATGGGACTGCACAACACATTAATCATTGTTACTTCATTCTCTGGTGACACAATATAGCAGTTACTCTTTGACATTTAATAAACTTAATTCACACTTTAACATGATTTCATGGTCATCCCTCCATACATTAGGGCTTTACTGTAGGAGTAAAGGATATGGGTTCTCTTCAACAGCATATTAATATTGCCTCACAACATGATTAGTCATTAGCAGATAATCTAATCCATGTCTCTTTTTTCCTTCCAGACGGCCATGAATCTCTTCTACTTGGCTCTCATAGGACATGGCCTGTCCCTGACCTCGCTCTTCGTCTCCCTGGGGATATTCTTCCATTTCAAGTGAGTCACCAAATCTTTTCCTACCATGCTTTGTACGCAGATATGTCTTACTGAGTGCATGACTTTATAGCTCCATGATGTAATGTCTCCTTTCTCTTCTTGCAGGAGTTTGAGTTGCCAAAGGATCACGCTTCACAAAAACCTCTTCTTCTCTTTTGTTCTGAACTCTGTCATCACCATGATTTGGTTGACAGGAGTGGCAAACAACCAGGAGCTGGTGCAGAGGAATCCAGTAAGTTCATGTATTTATGTTTATATTTTACATTATAAATCATCTACTTTTTTTTACATCCAAGATTTGTACCCATTTGGTTTGAGCTGTTCCTTTTTGTGACCATTATTTCAGTATTTAAACATACATTTATTATAGCGTCAGGAGATTCAGTTATTCATTTCATATCCGAGCACCCAGCAGTTTCAGGATTTGTTTTTTTCTTCCTGTCAGATTTTTCTCACTGTGGCCTCATTCTTCACTGCAATACACCTTAATAAAGACAGCACAACCATGGCTAGAAATAGAGAGAACAAGAAAAAGCATTCTCTGCAGTTAAACAAAAATACGCAAACTTCTTTGATCATTTATTTTAAACAAATATGGTTAAGTGGAATCCATATCGAACATTTTGCCAAGTGCCCACAATTATTAATTATATATTACTCCACATGCTATACATATTGACTGTTAATATTTGTACTACTTAAAACCACTTATGTCCTGTCCTTATGTAAAATAATTATTAGATTTTTTTGACACGCGACTATTCGTATTAGTCAAAAAGCTACCCAATTGTCTTAAAAAATGCAGAATTTTATGTTTTTTACAGTATCTTTTTAGTGTGAATTGTTGATTTCTGGCAGAATATTAAATAAGACATATAGAATAAAGTGATTTTAATTAAAATATCCCTGTTTTAAGCATGCATTTTTTTCCCTTTTCTGTTCAAGGAACGTTGAAAAGTTGAAAATTAGTAATGTTGCTATGATAAATAGTGGAATTTTGCCAAATAAAAAAGTTAAGAAATATGCTTTTCATACCCTCAGGCTTGTTTGTTTCAAAGGGTTTACTGCTCAGGGAAAAAACGGAAGCTGAGTTAAACGGCCACTCTCACATGAATTATGTGTGTGTGATTTTCCTCCTCAGACGAGCTGTAAAGTGTCCCAGTTCATTCATCTGTACCTGTTTGCCTGCAATTACTTCTGGATGCTGTGTGAGGGGATTTACCTGCACACTCTCATCGTGGTGGCAGTGTTCGCAGAGAAGCAGCACCTCATGTGGTATTATCTCCTGGGCTGGGGTAAGTCAGCATAATGAGTTGTGTCACTGATATGCACTCACTCTGCTAGGGAAAGAGTCTGTTTTTTATTGGGTTATGTTGTAGTCAGTCTCGTATTCCGGTTTGATAGAACAGAGAAATAAGGTTTTGTTTACCTACTTATGGCTTGAAGGGCATTTTAAGCACATGATTAGTATAACAATTTGTCTCAGTCTAGAATGATACACTTACATAAGTGTTATTGCAAGGTCTATTAGCCTTAACTGCAACTCTAATTCACTTTAAATGTTTTATTTTGCAGGTTTTCCTCTTATTCCAGCTACCATACATGCCGTTGCTCGGAGTTACTACTACAACGACAAGTAAGCATCCAAGTACATGATTGATCATTTTTACTATAACAGATTATAATAATAAAGTAAAAATAGACTAAATGAATGCCACACAATAATTATTTTAAATGTTTAATTAACATGTTTTATATTGTAGTACAATGTGCACATTTTTACTTTAACTTCTTGTTTTTTACAAATATTTGTTAATCATTTGTTATCTATCTTTTATTGCACATTTTATTTGAACTTATTGTGTTTATAAACCTATCTGTATTTTATTTTATATTGTTATTGTACATTAATTTCTTATGTTTTTATACATACTCATTCTATTTTTACATTTGAAACGTTATTATCTATTTCATTCTTAAATGGAGCAAATGCCACGTACCAAATTTAAATAAACTGTTTCTAATTCTGCTCCTGAAAAATCATAGAACCCGGTTAGACATCTGTCTCAAATGTGAAATGCAGAATATTAACGCAGCTTAATTTCAGAATAATAATAATGAAATGTTATGTATATACATTATTAAAATGATTATTTGATGTTTATCCGCACCTGGCAGAGTTCAACGACGCATTCAACCTTGCTGATGGCTTCTTTAATCAATCCCCCCGCTGAGCTGTTGATGCTAATTAATTTCTCGTAAAACCCATTGATCTGCATCGTGGGTCGGCGGTCATGTGATGCAATAACACTGTTGGGTAAACATTTCTCTGGCATCCTCTCTTCTCTGTAGCTGTTGGATCAGCTCCAAAACATCGCTACTCTACATCATCCATGGCCCCATCTGTGCAGCTCTCTTGGTAAGACTTCACTCTTTTCCCTCAAACCAATCAATTACAGTAGAGTCAAACACAATAACAACATTGTGTTCCATACTTCTCTTTGTTTAATAGCGCAACGAAAAAAATAAGTCTGTTTTGCCTCTTTCTGAGTGAACTCTGTGGGTGGCCTGAAACCAGAACACGGATTCATATCATGAGTAAATACGCTTATCTTGCGAAATCAATGCATCTGCCCCTGTGAGGATCCACCTAATGGTCTTCTGGCCGATGTTGCATTCTAGGAATTCAACTACTGTAAACAGAAGAGCCGGGCACGCTTCAGAGAAAAGTGCTCCCTGAAGACTCTCGTAGGACTAAATGTCCAGTTCTGAAACCTTTTACAGAAACTTGGCTGACAAATGTCTTGGTGTTGTTTTGTTCATGATGGAACATTCTGTATTTGCTTAAACCTTACACGTACTGGCCAGTTGAGACATGAACCACATGGGCAGTTGTCCATGGGCAAGATAACATGTCATGTAATGTCTTGAGACAAAAGCTGATTGGTTTTGAGATTGCAATGTGTTCCGCTTTTTTGCTTTCTACATGGACTCTTTACTTGCATACAACCAAAGCCCAATGAAATGTGACCAGATACGTACGAAATTTGGTCAATACTTCTTGACTACAAATGGAAAACAAAATGCTTCCAATACCAAAATGTTGTCGCATTGCTAAATGCAGATTCCGCAGATTAGTCTTTAACAGCAGCTATTAGCCAGAATATTCTGCTGATGTATTGATGTCCTCTCTGCTGCTTTCCGCCTCTAGGTCAATTTGTTCTTTCTGCTCAACATTGTGCGAGTCCTCATCACCAAACTGAAGGTGACCCATCAAGCGGAGTCTAGTCTCTACATGAAAGCCGTGAGAGCCACCCTCATCCTGGTGCCTCTGCTGGGGATTCAGTACGTCCTGTTCCCCTACAAGCCCGAGGGACGGGTCTCCTCCGAAATATACGACTACATCATGCACATACTAATGCATTACCAGGTGAGACGATGGTCAATGAGAAGGCTTGAGGTCCAAGGAATTTTTCCATGTAAAAAAATACATAAATAACTGTACGTTAGTTCATGCTTCATAACTGCATGCCCAGAGTATATATTTTTAATCAGAAACAGGTTTATTGCCAGGTAAGTTCACACATACGAGGAATTTGACTTGATGTCATGGTGCATACATAAAATATAAAACAAAGAATCTCCATATAAAACAAGAAATCTAATATAAAACAAAAAATCTTGAAGGACACTGTATATAAAATATAGTTGAATAGCAATAAAAGAAAACAGTAATTTACAGCGAAATGGAATGCAATGAGTTATAGAATAGGGGGTCGGCCACTATCTTCCCTGCCCGCCTCAGGGACCTGGAGGCATGCAGGTCGTGGAGGGATGGCAGATTGCAGCCGATCACCTTCTCTGCAGAGCGGATGACACGCTGCAGCCTGCCCTTATCCTTGGCTGTGGCTGCAGCGTACCAGATGGTGATGGAGGAGGTGAGGATGGACTCGATGATGGAGGTGTAGAAGTTCACTATCATCGTCTTTGGCAGGTTGAATTTCTTCAGCTGCCTCAGGAAGAACATCCTCTGCTGTGCTTCTTTGATGAGGGAGCAGATGTTCTGCTCCCATTTGAGGTCCTGGGCGATGATGGTGCCCAGGAAGCAGAAAGACTCCACAGCAGTTACTGGGGAGTCACACAGAGTGATGGGGGTGGGTGGGGCTGCGGTCTTCCTGAAGTCCACAACCATCTCCACTGTCTTGAGAGCGTTGAGCTCCAGGTGGTTGTCCCTACACCAGGTCACCAGATGGTCCATCTCCCACCTGACTCGTCCCCACCAGAGATGAGTCTGATGAGGGTGGTGTCGTCTGCGAACTTCAGGAGCTTGACAGACTGGTGACTGGAGGTGCAGCTGTTGGTGTACAGGGAGAAGAACAGAGGGGAAAGAATGCAGCCTTGAGGGGAACCGGTACTGATGGTCCGGGGGTCAGAGACGTGTTTCCCCAGCCTCACGTGCTGCTTCCTGTCAGACAGGAAGTCTGTGATCCACCTGCAGGTGGAGTCGGGCACGTGCAGCTGGGAGAGCTTGTCTTGCAGCAGAGCCGGGATGATGGTGTTGAAGGCGGAGCTGAAGTCCACAAACAGGATCCTGGCGTAGGTTCCTGCTGTGTCCAGGTGCTGGAGGAGGAAGTGAAGGGCCATGTTGACAGCGTCGTCCACAGACCTGTTGGCTCTGTAGGCAAACTGCAGGGGGTCCAGGAGTGGGTCTGTGATGGATTTCAGGTGGGACAGGACAAGGCGCTCAAAGGACTTCATAACCACTGAGGTCAGGGCGACGGGTCTGTAGTCGTTTAATCCTGTGATCCTTGTTTTCTTGGGAACCGGGATGATGGTGGAGGTTTTGAAGCATGCTGGGACGTGGCATGTCTCCAGTGAGGTGTTAAAGATGTCAGTAAACACAGGAGACAGCTGATCAGCACAGAGCTTCAGGGTGGAGGGGGAGACATTGTCAGGGCCAGCCGCTTTTCTGCTATTGAATTTTCTAAAAAGTCTGTTTACATCCCTTTCATTGATTGAGAGAGAATTTGATGTGTCGGGGGAGGTCAGTGGTGTAGGAGAGTGGGACACTGAAGGGGAGGGGGAAGTGGAGGTTTGAGACTGAGACCCCGTTTACATGGAGACGGTTCGTGTTTATCTGCTACTTTTCTCTTTCGTATAGCCCGTTCGTTCACACGAGGCCGTAACGGAACCGCGGAAACGGACCCCTCAAACGATAACGGGTCCCAAGGTGGGTAGATCTGCGGACGGAACGCTCTGGGGGGCCTAACGGCTCCGTGTGTACATCCTATACCATAGTTCAGTAACAGGCGGACCGCGGTACGGATCCGGACCCAGACGCCGACCTATACGGACCCGGACCTATAATCAATACATTAATAGGGGATTTAAATGTTGACGAGGCGATTCTATTTTAACTACCGCCGACAGGGGGCGAAAGAGACGAGTGAGCGATACAGGGAGAGAAACACAGAAGAAGAGAGAGACGAGAGAGCGGCAGAGAGAAGCGGAGAGGAAAGTGAGTGAAGAGAAGAGTTAGCGATACAGGGAGAGAAGCGGAGAGGACAGAGCGGCAGACAGGGAGAGAAGACGGAGAGGAGAGAGCGGCAGATAGGGAGAGAAGACGGAGAGGAGAGTGAACAGGCGCGTTAGCGGCAGACAGGGAGAGAAGACAGAGAGGAGAGAGCGGCAGAAAGGGAGAGAAGACGGAGAGGAGAGCGAACAGGCATGTTAGCGGCAGACAGGAAGAGACAAATAATTACACATGGCGCTCTCCAAGAAGAGGAAAGTGGACAGTTTAACCCTGAGTGGACTCATTCATGTTCATCCTGCCCACTGGGAGCACAGAACCAGTGTGTCTCATTTGTTCAGAGACCGTGGCGCTCATTAAAAGTGCCAATGTGAAACGCCACTATGAGACAAAACACAAAGTGTTTGACCAAACATTCCCTCTCAAGTCAGAACTGAGGTCAAATAAGAAGTCTGAGCCAAATATGATGATATGATGTCGTTCCAGGCTAACCAATGAGCACCTGCATGTGTGTATGAGAATGGCCCTGACACCATTTCAGCCCAGATTTAAACTCCTGGCAGGACAAACTCGAGCTCAATTCTCGCACTGAACAAAAAAAAGTGAGTGAGGGACTGCAATATAAGAGGGAAAGAAAGAGAAACTGTTCAATTGTTATGATGTGTAAAGACTGATATTGTTCTATAATCGTCTGAAACTGTTAAGTCATGATGTGAAACGGTTAACAAAGAAAAAGGGAAACTCAAGCTGCTGCTACACTTTATTTTAAATCTAAAATTAAGCACTTTTAAGATGCACACATTTTCAAAAGCTATTTGATTTATTTTCTTGCAGCCCGAGAGGAACATTACACATATCCACAGTATTTTACTGTATATCTGTATAGTTCAATGTTATTGACAATAAATATTGTTGTTTTTTAATTGTACTTTCTTTATTTGATTGGCAGTCAGTTGTTGATTACATGCAGACATTGATAAAGCTACAGCTACTTCAATATATATCACACTAATTCATAAAGCAAGTTAGACATTTTGATGTTCCGGACCTTTGCATGGGGAGATTTTCTCTAACTGGACCTCGTTGAATTTTAGTACCCCTGTCCTATACGATCATTTCCTGATAACGATGAAGCCATAGCCCCACCTCTCCTGCTCACTGCTGTAGCATGGTCAGTAGCTACTGCTACTGACCATGCTACAGATGTTAGTGCAAAATCTACAGCTCCTCTACCACAACCATCAGCAGCAAGTGGACATTGAGAACTACATGAACTACATGTTGCTAAATCCACCACGGAGCATAAACAGAAGGGCAACCATGGCAACCATGCTCGGGGGGTCTTCTTTGCTGCTTTTGGTGTATTTTGTGGCGGTAGTACAGCGCCACTTACAGGCCCGGCATATGTACTACAGCGTCTCCAGCGGGTCGAGCGGTCTTGTGTGAACGGACAAGTTTCTTGAGCCGATACTGTGTGAACGGAATACTTTTTTGATATCGAATTCGGTTCGTTCTCCATTTCGTCTCCATTTAAACGGGGTCTGAAGCTGTTGGGAGGTGTCATGGGGGATGGTGTCAGGACTGAACTCTTTGTCTTCAAATCTACAGTAGAACTGATTCAGATCGGCGTCGGTCGTTCATGGAGTGTGAGGCTTTTGGCTTGTAGTTTGTGATCTGTCTTAGACCACGCCAGACAGAAGCAGAGTCGTTTGCTGAGAGCTGGTGTTGGAGTTTCTCAGAGTATTGTCGTCTAGCATCTCTCACCGCCTTGCCAAAGACGTACTTCGACTCTCTAAAGCGTGCCTTATCGCCACTCCTAAACGCCTCCTCCTTTTGCAATCTTAGCTGTTTCAGTTTAGGTGTGAACCAGGGCTTGTTGTTGTTGAAACTCACCCTGGTGCGTGTTGGTACACAGCTGTCCTCGCAGAAGCTGATGTATGACATCACAGCCTCTGTATATTCATCCAGACTTTGAGTAGCAGTCCTAAACATGTCCCAGTCAGTACAGTCCAAACACGCCTGAAGTTCCTCCATAGCTTTACTGCTCCACTTCCTGAATGTCCTCACTACAGGTTTACACAGTTTGAGTTTCTGCCTGTATGCTGGAATCAGGTGGACCATGGTGTGGTCAGAGTGGCCCAGTGCAGCGCGGGGGACGGCGTGATAGGCTCCCTTGATGGTGGTGTAGCAGTGATCTAAAATATTCCCCTCTCTGGTGGGACATTTAATAAACTGTTTGTATTTTGGGAGTTCGTGGCTGAGGTTTCCTTTGTTAAAGTCACCAAGAACAATAACTAGGCAGTCCGGATAAGTCCTCTCCACACACAGTATCTGGTCGGCGAGTGTGGCTGTGCCTCCTGCACATTAGCATGCGGTGGGATGTACACACCAACCAGTATGAAAGAAGAAAACTCGCGGGGGGAATAGAAGGGTTTGCAGTTGATGATAAAAGTTTCCAGAGTGGGAGAACAGTGCTGCAGAATCACTGTCACATCGTTGCACCAGCCACTGTTAGTGTAAAAATTGATTGATTTGCCGGAGAGCTCCGCGTCGCGATCCGCTCTGAACAGCTGGAAGCCTCCCAGCTGCAGTTCCAAGTCAGGAATCGATCCACACAGCCAGGTCTCAGTGAAGCACAAAACACAAGATGAAGGAAAGTCCCTGTTTCTACTAACCAGTAGTTGAAGCTCGTCCAGTTTATTGCTTATGGAACGCACGTTGGAGAGAAATATTCCGGGTAGCAGCGTGCGAAGTCCGCGGCTCCGGAGGCGCACGAGTGTCCCGGCCAGTTTCCCTCTCCTGTGGCTTTTCAGTGCTCGGATGCACGTGAGGGAACCTTTTACAAGAATGTCCAATCATTCCACGGAAGAACAGATAAAAGTGGGAAAGTAATACGCTGAAGTTGTTTCTCTAATGTTTAGGAGCTCTTCCCTGTTGAAAGAGTTCGGTGTACTGTATGTAAACACTGAATTAACACACAAAATAAGACAAAACACCGAAGCAGCCATCTGCGGCGCCATCTTAGTTCCGAACCTATTCAAGGTTTATTGTCCGCTGTACTGCAGTGTCCCTGTGCTCTATTCATAAAGTCATGGTGTCCTTGCAACATGTATATCATTTATTATTAAACTTGGTTACATGTAAGTGGCTTACTCCTGCATTCCCGGAGATATATACTTGTTTTTTTGTTTACTAAATGAACTTTTGCCCGGGTATCCAGCACATCTTAGCTTTCAGTAAAAAGCTGAGCATTCCTATCAGCCTCCCACAAGACTTTGTTTATGTTGTAGCGCAGGGAAGAACAGCAGGAAGGAAGGCATGAATTATCTAAACTGAGAGGAGGCTGAAATCTGTTGAGTGTTGGCAAGGTGTTCTCTGATCATTCTGAGCTGTCCCAGCATGGGCACTGCTGGGAAAACGTCTTGAGCAACAAACCGAATCCGATAACAACAGTTTTCTTTGCTTTGCAGAACCGTAGACCTTTACATATCACCAGTGAATAGCTGACAGTCGAGGCTTCAGACCAGTTATTAAGGTGTTTATTTTCTTTAATTTTCATGTATATTTTCTGAATTTCAGGGTCTGCTGGTGGCCACCATCTTCTGCTTTTTCAACGGAGAAGTAAGATGTTTTTATTTATTTATTTAAACCTGCATGCACACATACATCCACACTCTTCCAAACTTCCCCTATGTGATCAGGAATAGACAAGGCAACTTCCTCTGCATGACCCGCAGCAGGATGGTAAATTAGCAGAATGTCTTGACAGCCTCAGTTCTTCGGGGCTTTGCCGGGGACTTAGCATTGTTTACTGTTGGAAAGCAGCCATAGATTTTACTCTGATTGCTTTCAATTATTCATGTGATTGATCTGCTTACAGAATAGCTTGTTACCGCCAGAAGTGAATGTCTAAAGAGCCATTAAATAACTCCTTACCCTGTTATTAGGTGTTAACATAAAATGGAGAAAAGCACCGCTTTATTTTACACTTAACTGATTTGAATTTCTATTAAACATCTTATAACAATAATGGGCTTATTGTACGCTCAAATAAACAGTGGCATTGACTTGTCTTGATATAGGAATTTAGGCACACAAAATATATGGATATATATATATATCTTTGACAAAAAATATGTATTTTACAGCACTAAAGAGCCATATTGAAGATATGTTCAAAACCACAAGACAACAAGAGTCCAAGCACTTCAAATGTATTTATGCATCCACATTTTTTTTAAAAGAACAAGTCCGCCTTATCAAAAACAAAGTTTTACTAAGAATTAGTACAAAAGCAGTTAAGAATGACTGCACTGCAAAGTAATTACAATTTCTGAAGGAAAGGTTAATATTTTGAGAAATAGCTATTAGGCTAGCTTAGCACAAAGATGTGTATCATTAGGAAACCTCTACACTCATATTACCCTTGGAAAGAAAGCAAATGTGTTTTTTTCCCAACACATTTCACTTTTACTTTAGGTGCTTTAACCATAGTTGTGTCTCAAATATGTATCCATTTCCATTAAATATGAATTCTGGTTTCTCTGGTTAGGTCCAAGCAGTTCTTCGGAGGCATTGGAACCAGTACAACATCCAGTTTGGCAGCAGCATAGGGAACCACTCGGAAGCGATGCGTTCGGCCTCTTACACAGCCTCCTCCATCACAGAGGTACAGGGCTGCTACAGCATCGACGGCCACACAGAACACATGAACGGCAAAGGCTTCCACGACGCCGACGCCTCCATCTTGAAGTCAGACAGCCCCTTCGCCTGAGAATATTTCCGTAACTCTGCCTGCCCCACCCACAAGCCTAAAAACTGCAGCATGTTCGGAGAGACAACCAGAGAACTCGCCTTTTCCTTTTGATACGAAGTCAGAAGCAATGTGTGAGGAAAAGGACACACTCTCACCCACCCGAAGGAAATTGTCCCCTCTCAGTCACACCGCTCTTTATCAGCATTGTACGGTGAGCTCAATACAACCACTCCTGCGCTTTGTGTACAAGTTGACACAGAACTGCTTCACTCGACCTAAGATGCATTCTGATAATCACAATAACGTTGCGATCTTTCTGCCTGACAGAATTGTTTTAAAGTGGATGAACATTAACAGCTCGACCGTCCTTCGGGGAACATGTTGTGCACAAAAAGCCTTTGGTAACACTGAAAATTCTTATGACATGGTTAGTGCCAAACCAAGAAATCTTTGCCTGCCTCGTTTTTTTTTTTTTTTTTCAATACAGAACCAGAACGAAGATAGGACGTCTAACAAGTGCATAATAATATATTAAAGCTATATTATATATTTCACATGTTAAACTTAATTTATCTGAACATGTTATTGTTTATTGAATAAATACCACACAGTATTTATTGAAGTTGATATGATATATTATTTTGGAAATGAATATGACTTATTGCTTCACGCAGACGTTCAATGTATTTCTTGTTCGTTTCTGTGTGCAGTTAATGCAGATGATTTACCGAATCATATCGTTAGCATGCAAGCTAATTTAAAGAGATATCATCATGCTAATGTTTGAACGTGTTTAAGTGATCCTTAGTGACCTGTGCATCCTGTAAACCACATATTAGGTTGTTATGTAACTTCTTAACACAATATTTTCACAGAGAAGCCGTCTTGATATCACATGTTCACCAATATTCATTACACTCGAATGTAACAGTGAAGTTTGAAGACGTGGCTCTGAACATATACTGTATGTACCACATTCCCATTCACTGCTGTCTTTAGCCTTACTGCTCTCAGATTACTTAAATATAACCACTAAATAAGCATTATGGGGTGTTCAGACTGAACAGTACTGTGTTAGAAATGCAGGAGGCTAACGGTAAGATAATGAAATACAAGTCAGGAAAGCAATTCTAAAGGAAAGGGTTGGATTTTCAAAGTCAATTTTTCAACGTCAACTTACAACACAGTCTCACGGCATTTCGTGTTATAGTCACGAAATTAATCTATTGATTCGTGTTCACCAACACGATTTCGCCATTTTTTTCGTGTCACACAACGATTTTAAAAGCAATGTAAATAATAACAAATTAGAAGGAAAAACACATTTAAAAAATACAGATTTAAGTATTCTGACACAGAACGATTTTAGAAGCAATGTATTTATATTGGTAGTATGTTTCGTGCCTGCACCAAATAATAACAAATTAGAAGGAAAAAAAGATGACATAAAATACAGATTTCAGTATTCTGAGGCTCTGAGCCCCATTTCTTTTCCTCACTGACGGCAAAAAAACTCAGACATTATACAATTTAAAATAAAAGGGATATGGTTAGGCTGCAGGCACGAAACATACTACCAATAGAAATACATTGCATTTAAAATCGTTCTGTGTGACACGAAAAAAAGGTGAAAATCGTGTTGGTGAACACGAATTTAATAGATTAAATTAATTTCGTGACTAATAACACGAAATGCCGTGAGACTGGGTTGCAACTTACGTACACAAGGTAACTTACTTAGGAACCGTAGCTATTGCACTGTATGTATGTATGTATATTACATCCCATTCGTAACTTACTTAACTTATGTGCAGGATTTAAGTTAACAAAAACACCTATTGTCTTTTAAGGTTGTTAGGAAGCTAGAAGCTAATGTTGTTTATGCTAACATTAAACAACATTATGCTAAGGTTGTTAGCACCAAGTAGCAGGAACATGCACCTGCACAAAGTTAATTGGTCGATGCAGTGCGTCTCAAGGTAATGATGGATTGCATTGCAGCAAAATTCTATATATTTTGTATATCTCATTCATATCAATTAGTTATATGCTAACTAGTGCTAGCGTCAGTCTGAACACACGCCTTAGTCAGAAGTGATATCCTCACCGTCTCTCAAGAAACTGCAAAAAATAATACTGCATTTACATTCTTAAAAGCATTTAGCAAGCTGTCCAAACAGTTCTGCTGTCATTTCATCCTAAAACCTTCATGTACTTTTGGTTCATTTTAGAACCTTTATACTGCTACGGCCATACTGCTGGGAACAGGATTCACTATCAGCTGATGTAAATCTTTTTCTAAGTCTAGTTTCTGAAAAGTTGAACATGTGAGAGTGACTGGCGTGTGTGCATGATTTATACATTTACAGTATTTATGAGTACATTATACTCTGACGCATTCAAGCATAAAGCAACCGTCTTATGTGACTGTGGCCGTTTCTCAATGTCGAGTAAACCTGCTGCAGAGCCACTATTTCAAGTATACTTCGTGGCGCCGAAGGACTATTTAAATGCATGTTAAATGCCCAGCATTCGGCGCCACTCGATGACGTAGTATACTTGAAATAGTGGCTCTGCAGCAGGTATACTCGACATTGAGAAACGGCCAGTGTGTTGGACGTTGATAAAGACATTGTTTGTTCTACCTTTGTGTTTAAAAAAAGGGAGGATGGGGAAGCGTGGGATCTGTCTGCTCGTATTATTTACCATCATTTTTTGTCACCTTTCCACTCTGCCTGTATTTGAAAGTGAAGAAAGAAAAGTAGCACTGCCTTCTGTGTAACTTATTAATGCCATATTATAAGAACAGACAGAGACAATTAGTGTTAGTTTGATATGTAGAAACTCATATTCAACTTTCCAAACAGCATGTCTTCTTTACTATTTCAACGTAGAGTGTTGAAGACAAACAATATATATCCTTCATAACAGTATTCCAAAAACAATTATACATTTGTTTTATAGTCAGTTACTTTTATCTTTGGTGGATGAGTATTTTTGTAGATCATGAATTTCTCAATAATCTGAACGGTGAGGACTTGTACGGTGGCCAACAGGTGCAAACGCGTTACAACAGCCCAAAACATTTCCATTGGGAGAAACGCGGTGCAGTTTAAAAAACGGTGCACATACAAAAACATAAATGTGCTTCAACACATGCAAATGAAGAAACAACTTCGCCAACACTAACAAACACAAAGCGCACTTGTTGACGTTTGGGGATTATAAAGTTGGCCAAATGTCACTGTCACTGGAAACTCACCTAAAATGTAATTTGTATTGTCTTATTTTAACAATGTGATCAGATGATTCCTTCCGATTTTATTGCGTATCTGCTTAACCTGTTAAGCCCCGAGCCTGTTTTTCAGGTTTCAGGCTCGAAAATGACATGCCCAAAACAAATAGTAATAGGAACATAGTAAAAAAAGGTAAATTCTTACCTCCGCCTAAAGAAAAAACATTACTTATAGTGAAAACCACCCTTGAATGATGGGATGGTAGACTAAAAGCTTTAGGAATCCAAATTATAACATATAATAAGTACCCTGTATCAAGATTGTTCCAGGCGGAATAAGCTTTCGGCACATTTGGGTATATCTGGTTCCATCAGTGCCATTTGACCTTTTTCAGGTACCAGACTATAAAAATGATGTATTACATTGAATTATCACCATAGGTATTCATTCCATTCAAAGAAAAAAAATTAAAATACATTTTTTTTTGTAAAAAATTTAAAAAAAACATTTTTTTTTTATTTGTGAAGAAGAAAAAAGACTCGCCGACGGGGGCTTTGGGGCTTAACAGGTTAAGCTAGCTAGCTACCGTAGATAACCCAATCATTTCGAATATTACTAACTTTGACGATAGTGACAGTTGGCCAACTTTATAATTCCCGAAAACCTCAACAAGCGCTCCGCTCCCAGCTGTGTGCATCACTTTTTAGTGTTCCCTGGTTTCCGTGTGTTTTGACCCATTACAGCATTTTGTATTTGCAGCGCTTTTAGAAAATGCTGAACATGTTTCCTAAAGTTGGTGAAGATGTTTCTTTATCATGTGCTTTGTGTTTTTATATTTGCATCGTTTTTGAAAGTGCAGTGCTTGTCTCCTAACGGGTTTTTTGGCTGTTCCAGTAACATATTTAAAAGAAAGTTCTATAGTATTTTGATATGTGAAAAAGTGTTATTGGATGCCAATTATAACGGGAGTGGGTTAATTACAGGATATATGCAGAGTATTCTTTAAAGCAAGGGTTCAGTATCACACATACATTTTGTACTTTATAATGTCAGATCTGCAGGACAGTTTCTCTGTATAATTCTAAACTATACAATTTACATACATGGCAATCACAGTGGAAGTCTTTATAAACCAAGTAAGTTACCGTGTAGTGATGGTTTATAGTCAATTAAACAGTATTTTCATCACAAACTAAGAGACTTCTGGAAAATGTAGTAACTATGTACCATTTAAGTTGTGTATATATGTGTGAAATATTTTCATATGACTCTCCAAAGGGTTTGTGAAGTCCGCTGGGACACTTTGGTGAAATGTTGTGAAGTATGACAAAAGCATTAATGGCAATGTCTAGTTTTTGTTTATACTGTACTGTATTTAACTTTGGCAGTCTTGACACATTGACTCCACACTGCTGTTTGAATGTAACTGGTTGTGTTTCATTCTCTGTGAAAAACATATATATACATATATATTTACGTACAAGGTGTCTTTTTTTATTATTTCACTGATTAGACAATGTTGCTTTCTGCATTTAATACAGTTAACAACCATCAACTCTATTATTTTTATTTTTTGGCTTAATTGTTAGACTATATTGCTTCACACACATTGACACACGTTTAAATAAAAAGCACATATTTGACTTTCACTAGTTCCAGTATAGGTAGTTTTATGGTCAGTATGAGGGATTATTTTATCAAATATGTGCAATCATACAATTCCAGAACAGAAGTATGAATATAAGATGAAGTAAGGTTCAGAATTCAAAGCTTTTTTAGAAAAGTGGTTTTAAATATGTCTTTGTGTCACTCCAAATTTCAGAAAATCCCCAATGTTTATGGGATTAATAGTGATACATCAAGCTATGAATCATTTATGGAAAATCCTTTCTTTAAAAAAAACTATTCAGAATAAGGATTGAACTTTAAGGTTTGTTTAATAGGTGGAGATTTGTGTTGATAGATATTTAAATAGTATTGTTCAGTCTTGTAAAATTATTAACATTTAGCAAGAAACTACAGATGAATTGGAAAAACAAATGGATATCAAATACTAATTTGTATTTTGACTATTTTCTTTTTAGTAGTCTGAAAGAAGACATGTTATGGAGGCAACCAAAAAACACAAAGTTAGCCAGTCCATAAAAACAGTTTTAGCCTGAAGTGTATCAGCGTAACATCCTTCATGTTTGTCTCATTGATTGCAAACAATATGAGTTAAGTGTCGAAGTATGGTCTTCCAAATCCTTTCGAACACGATGTAACTAATTTGACACCTCTGTGCCTGGTGGGGGGGTGTTGTAATAAGAAACATCTACTACACTGGAAAGAGTGTCAAACAAACAAGCTTTATTTTGTAGAACGCCCAGGTCCCAAATCTTTTTTGTTGTGAGAAGTGGAGAAAAGTATATATTAAAAAAATGTAACAGCACAGTGTACAGCAAGTGTAAAGATATGTATAGTGTATGGCCAGACATCTGATAACATGTTGTAAAAGTGAATGTTTTAGATAGAGAAGATACCCTAAACTAAAGTATAAATTAACTTTTTTTTTTTAAATCAAATTGAATGGAAAAAGTCTGCCTTCATCTGGATGATACCTCTAATGGTTTGCATTTTTCTCGAACAACATAATAACCTTAAAGGTGGGGTAGGTAATTTTGGAGAAACCAGCTCGAGTGCGCTAGAATTTGAAAATACACAACCGGAGAAAACCTGCCACTTCCTTACAGAGCCCCTCCTCCAACACACACGAACGCGCACATGACCAATGAGGGCACGAGATAAGTTTGTGCACAGATGGCAAGGCTGACAGGCAGGTAGTGCTTTTTACAGCGCCACGGCTTCCACAGATGACATTTTTTAATGTATTTATTGTCAAAGCATTTAATATATTCATATATATTCCCACCTTTAACTTATAAGATATATAAATACATTTTTTTGGTGCAATAATTACTCAAGAAGTTGATGGATATAGGTTGAATATGGGCAGATATTATATTTGATATGTGGAAATGTGTCTGATGCTCATTTATTGTCCTATTTGACTTCTCATC